TTAAAGTGGACTCAAACTGCATTATTTCTGGCAGTCTGTAAAGGACCTATATTTCATTTGCAAACACAGGGACAAAATTGTTGAAGAACAACAGGCAGATGGCTCAAATTGTGCCTCCTTGTAAGAGACGCTTATACTAAGGGGGGTTACAGACTGCCAGAAATAGTGCAAATTGAGTCCACTTTTAGGGTTAGGGTTAAGGAATCATGGGAACTGTATTTTATTGTGGCACCAGAGCTCTCTGACAGAGAAGGCTCAATGTCTCAGAAAAAAAAAACAATTCCCATGACTCCCTAGCACTAACCCTAACCCTAAAAGTGGACTCAATTTGCACTATTTCTGGCAGTCTGCAACCCCCCTAATATCCATATGTCTAACAGAGAGCAACAAAGACTGTACACTGCAGTGGAATGGAAGAGCCATACTTCCCTTCTAACTGCCTTGAATTTGCTGCTCAGGAGAAAAGCAGAAGTTTAAAGTGGTCACAAAATATGCAAGGTTAAGAACTGAACAAGTCATACACAAAGAGGTCAAGATTTTGCAAGTGATAACTCAAAATTTTCACACATAAAGGGAATTACTGTTTATTCTGTTTCGAGGAGTCCTGAAAACACTTGGTAATTTGGGGCGCTGTAATAAATACCATAAGTTCAGTAGTTGAGTGTATATGTACACTCAATAAGTTGCCTTATGGCAACCCCATTAATTTCATAGGGTTTTCTTAGGCAAAGAATACTCAGGGGTGGTTTTGCCAGTTCCTTCTTCAAAAATATAGCCTGCAGCACCTGGTATTCATTGGTAGGCTCCCGTTCAAGTACTAAACAGAGCTTAGCCTGCTTAGCTTGCAAGATCAGACAGAATCTGGTGCTTTTGAAGTATCTGGGCCCCAAGTATTTGAAAAAAAATCCAAACATTGTGCAATAAAAACATCTCCACTAACTGGAGTTTCACTTCCTTAAAATACACACTATGTTAAAATGCACAAGATAGCTGTAACACTTCATTTCATGGTATATTTTTAATATAGCATTCATGGGTGAACAAGTTGGTCCAGCATGACTGATTGATATTTAGAACCTGCAAGATGATTGTTGAGTAATTCCTGGGTATGAGTCAAAAGGAAGGCAAATGCATTTATACCTAAGAATCAGACTATAACTTAGTCAGTCCTTTTACATATGGGTTACAGTAGAAATTACTTGTGAAGATTCATTCTGATATTCTCAGAAGGCTAGCAGTATTTTTAAGGATTCGCTAATGAATGGGGAGCCAGTGTAGTGTAGTGCTATGAGCACTGAAATGTGACTCTGGAGGTCATGGTTCAGACTCCCACTTGGCCATGAAAGCCCACTGGGTGACCTTGGGCAAGTCACATTTCTTCAGCTTTAGAGGAAGGCAAAGGCCCCTCTGAACAAATTTTGCCAAGAAAATCGCT